TGACGGCACTTAACAACAACAACAACAACAACTGACCTTTGAAGGACTAGTTTCTCAAATAACTAGGAGCGATTACAGCTATTGGTATTAGTGTAGGGTTACAAGAAGGTGGGAGTATAAAACTAGGAAAATTAGGAGCACTGAATTTTCTTTTACATTTCAATGTAAAGTCAAATTTAGAGATAGTGTTCTGTAGGCAATTAGAGTATGCCCTTGCACATGTCGTCAGTGATATGAGGGCTCCTCTCTTTTATCATGTTCAGGCCCCACCTGGACAGGCTCTTGTTTGAAGAAGACAGCACAGGGGAGGACACTGGCCTGATGGGGGATGATGTCCCGGCAGCCAAGTTAGGGGTCCCAGCTGTGGTCAAAGAGTGGGCTCTTCTGGAAGGGAGAGGATTAGGAGGGCTGGTTATGGTATTTGCCTCTGTGAAGATGAAAGACAGAAGACAGACAATGACTCAGATTATATTTTCCTTTAGAAATAGATAAAAACCAAAGAGGCCTGTAAATATCTGAGCAAATCTATGCAGCCAATTTCTAAACAAGGGGCACTGAGATAGTTTGATGAATAGACTCATCTGGTGGGCTCTCAATCTGGCTATACATTAGATCATCTGGGGGGCTTACATATATATATCTACATGTCTAGGTCCCAGCCAGAGAGATTCTGATTCAATTAATCTGGGTGTGCCAGGGCATGCATATATATATATATATATTTTAGTGAAAGTATAATAGCCAAAGATACACCACTTCAATAATTTCTACATGTATATTTCTGTGACATTGATTACATTTGTCATTCTTGCTATCCTTCAGATTATTCCACCACCATTATCTTAAATTCACTGCCCCCTAAACTTCCCATCTAACCTTGCAATTTGTCATTGTCATTTTTATCTCATATAGATAATTATTTACAAGAGTATAGTCCTCAAAGCAATTTACTAATTAAGGTAAGCATTTTGTTGTTCAAAACAGACTGCTGGGAATAGTTTTGGTTAAAGTCTTAAAGTTAAAAGATTATCCATATATACATATATTTTTTAAAACAAGCTCAAATATCCAGGTAGGGTTTAGAATCACTAGCCTAATTCATTAAATTGTATGCTGTATGCTTAATACTGAAAAGTAATAACAAACAAGTTAGTTAATGAGAATTTTCTTCCAAGTACACTATACTTTCAAAACTACTTCTTGGGTTTCATCATCTGGTTAAAAAAACAAAGGTAAGTATACTTAACCCAATAAAGAGTTTTATTACAAGTACCCACAATACTCAAATCACAATGTAAAACCAGATGTATATTTTCCCCCCACAAAATTAAAACAAAACAAAACAAAATCCCAGATCTGAAAATGCTGCTTTACCTGATTCTTCTTGTTCATTAACATCTTGAGGATCAGAACCACTCCGGCTTCGACACTCTTTGTATGTTTTGGCCTTTCGGGTCACCATCTCATCGTCAGTTGCCTCTCCACTCTCACCCTAAGAATAGAAAACTAGGAACTTTTTATTTCTCTCCCATCACTGCTTTGGTTTAAGCAATTCTCAATGTCCTGACCTACTCGCCTTTACCACTGCCCCCACTTGGTGAAAGTGGTAAAAACCTACATTAAGACTGACAAAGCATTCTCCTGTTACATTATCTCCTTTGCTCTTCACTATGAGGCAGTGTTCCTCAGGGGAGAGAAACAGAACAGGGAAGGGATAGAACCTCTGGAATCTCTGTGTAGACACAGAATTATGAAGCAAGTAAAGCTCAACTTTAGCATTAACAATCTCCCACATGCGAAGGGTGGGACTCTTTCTAGATCAATGAAGCAAAATCCCATCGCTTTATCTGGGCTCACATGATAATATAATTTAAACTATTTTCTATATATAGCATTTTGGCCCACTAGCATCTTCATAAGAAGCTCTGGTGACGTAGTGCCTAAGGCATTTGACTGCTAACCAGAAGGTTTGTGGTTCAAACTCATCAGCCACTCCATGGAAGGAAGACTGGGAAATCTCCTTCCATAAAGACTTACTACCTTGGAAACCCAAAGGGGGTCACTATGAGTTGGAATTGACTCGAGGGCAGTGAGTGCGTATATTCGTAATCTGGTATCTTTCTAGCCTTCCTTGCCCACCTCAGGAGCCATTCTCCAACCACTCAGAACATTTGCTTCCCTGGACAAGTCAAGTCCTTCATGCCTTCATGCCGCCATGTTGTCTCCTCTGCAGGAATGCTTTCCCATTCTTGTCTGCCTGGTAAACTCCTAGACATCCTTCAAGATCCATCAATTAACTGCCCTGTGAAGTCTCCCCGACCACCTTCTTACCCTTTTATTTTTCTTCTTTCGGCTCCTGTAGCACTTTGCAGACAGATTCAACAAAGACTCTTATTTAGATATCTTTGTATTTGTTTACATGTCTGCATCTCTCTAGGAACCCTGTCTTTTTCCTTGAGTTGATTCAGTTCCCAGCACCCAGGAAGTACTTGGTAAGCTCTTGTATTATACTTGTTTTATACCCAGTCTTGTCCCCAACCCAAATGACCTGAATTAGCTTATGAAGATGTAGACAGGCCCAGAAAATTGAGTTTTATACTTAATGATGTAGGAGTTTCAGAGCAGCTTTAAGGGTAGCCCAGAAGGCAAGCCAGGCATGGGGGTTTTGGAGCAGCTTTAAGGGCAGCCTGGAAGTGAGTGGAGTGATTTGGAACAGCTAAGAGAGATGAACTTGTCTGTCAGTTTGTCATCCTATGGTGGCTTATGTGTTGCTATGAGCCTGGAGGCTGTGCCACTGGTGTTGCAAATGCCAGCAGGGTTACCTTTGGTGGACAGGTTTCAGCGGAGCTTCCAGACTAGGACAGACTAGGAAGAAGGAACAGGCCATCCACTTCGCAAAGAATTGGCCAATGAAAACCTTATGATTAGCAGTGAAACACTGTCTGACACATTACTGGAAACTTTATGAATAGCCCTGAAACATTGTCTGATATAGTGCCAGAAGATGAGCCCCTCAGGTAGGAAAGCGCTCAAATACGACTGGGGAAAAGCTGCCTCCTCAGAGTAGAGCTGATATGGATAGAGTAATGCTTTTGGGATCTCTAATTGCTGATGTGGCACTTCTCAAGATGAGAAGAAATAGCTGCAAACATCCATTAATAATCTGAACACGGGATGTACAAAGTATGAATCTAGGAAAATTGGAAGTTATCAAAAATGAAATGGAATGCATAAAGATCGAGATCCTAGGCATTAGTGAGCTGAAATGGACTGTTTTGGCCATTCTGAATCAGACAACCATATGATCTACTAGGCCAAGAATGAAAAATTGAAGAAGAATGGCATGACATTCATCATCACAAAGAATGCTTCAAGATCTGTCCAGAAGTACAATGCTGTCAGTGATGGGGTAATATCCATATGTCTACAAGAAAGACCAGTTAATACTACTATCATTCAAATTTATGTACCAACTACCAAAACCGAAGATGAGGAAATTGAGAATTTTACCATCTTCTGCAGTCTGAAATTGATCGAACATGTAATTAAAATGTGTTGCTTATCACTGGTGATTGGAATGTAAAAGTTGGAAACAAAGAAGAATCACCGGAAGTTGGAAAATATGGCCGTGGTGATAGGAATAACACTGGAGATCGCATGATAGAATTTTGCAAGACCAACAACTTTTTCATTGCAAATACACATTTTCAACAACACAAATGGTGGCTATACATGTGGACTTCATCACATGGAGTACAAAGGAATCAGAATGACTACAGCTGTGCAAGAGGTGATGGAGAAGCTCAATAGCTTCAGCCAAAACAAGACAAGGAGCTGATTGTGGAACAGACCATCAACTGCTTATATGCAAGTTCAAGTTGAAGTTGAAGACAATTAAAACAAGTCCACAAGAGTCAAAATATGACCTTGAATATATCCCTCCTGAATTTAGAGACTATCTAAAGATAGACTTCATGCATTGAGCACCAATGACTGAAAACCAAAGGAATTGTGGGATGACATCAAGAACATCATCCATGAAGAAAGCAAAAGGTCACTAAAAAGACAAGAAAGGAAGAAAAGACCAAAATAGATGTCAGGATAGACTCTGAAATTTGCCCTTGAACAGAGAGTAGCTAAAGCAAATGGAAGAAATAACAAGACAAAAGAGCTGAACAGAAGATTTCAAAGAGCAGCTCAAGAAGACAAAGTCAATTACTATAATGAAATGTGCAAAGACATGGAATTAGAAAGCCAAAAGGGAAGAACATGCTTGGAACTGCTCAAGCTGAAAGAACTGAAGAAAAAATATAGGCTTTGAGTTACAGTATTGAAAGATTCTATGGGCGGTATATTGAATGATGCAAGAAACATCAAAAGAAGATGGGAGGAATATAGAGAGTAACTGTACCAAAAAGAATTGGTTGATTTTCTTCCATTTCAGGAGTGGCATATAATCAAGAACCAATGGTATTGAAGGAAGAAGTCAAGGCTGCACTGAAGGAATTGGTGGAACACAAGGCTCCAGGAATTGACGGAATACCCACTGAGATGTTTCAACAAAGGGATGCCACGCTGGAGGCACTCACTCAGCTCTGCCAAGAGATTTGAAAGACAGTTACCTGAACAGCTGACTGGAAGAGATCCATATTTTTACCCATTCCAAGGAAAGGTGATCCCACAGACTGTGGAAATTAATGAACAATATCAATAATATGATATGCAAGTAAAATCTTACTGAAGATAATTCAAAAACAGCTGCAGCAGTAGATTGACAGAGGACTTCCAGAAATGCAGGCTGGATTCAGAAGAGGACATGGAACAAGGGATATCATTGCTGATGTCAGATGGATCTTGGATGAAAGCAAGGAATACCAGAAAGATGTTTACTTATGTTTTATTGACTATGCAAAAGCATTCGATTGTATGGATCATAACAAATTATGGATAACATGGAGAAGAATGGGAATTTCAGAACACTTAATTGTACTCATGTACCTGTACACAGACCAGGGGCCTGTCATTTGAACAGAACAAGGAGATACTGAATGGTTTAAAATCAGGAAGAGAGTGCATCAGGATTGTATCCTTTCACCATACTTCAATCTGTATGGTGAGCAAATAATCTGAGAAACTGGATTATATGAAGAACGTGGCATCAGGATTGGAGGAAGGCTCATTAACAACCTGTGATTCTCAGATGACACAACTTTGCTTGGTGAAAGTAGGATGACGTGAAGCACTTACTGATGAAGACTGAAGACTACACCCTTCAATATAGATTACACCTCAATATAAAGGAAGCAAAAATTCTCACAACTGGACAAATAAGCAGCATCACAATAAACAGAGAAAAGACTGAAGTTGTCAAAGACTTCATATTATTTAGTTCTATAATCAACAGCAATGGAAGCAGCAGTCAAGACATCAGATGACGTATTGCATTAGGCAAATCTGTTGCAAAAGAGTGCTGAAGAGCAAAGATGTCTTCTTGAAGACCAAGGTCTGCCTAATCCAAGACATGATATTTTCAATTGCCTCTTCTGCATGTGAGAGCTGGACAGTGAATACTCTGTCCAGCTGAAGTAGAGTTAATGCTTTTGAGTTGTGGTGCTGGTGAAGAATGCTGAGAGTATCATGGACTGCTAAAAGAACTAACAAATCTGTCCTGAAAGAAGTGCAGCTGGAATGCTCCTTGGAAGCGAGAATGGCCAGACTTCATCTCACCTACTTTGGTCATGTTGTCAGAAGGAACCATTCCTGGAGAAGGATATCATGCTTGGAAAGGTGGAGGGTCAACAAAAAAGGGAAGGCCCTCAAAAAGATGGATTGACACAGTGGCTACAATGATGTGCTCAGGTATAGCAAGGATTTTGAGAATGGCACAGAACTGGGCAGTGTTTCATTCTGTTGTACATGAGGTTGCTATGAGTTGGAGACAACTGGACGGCATGTAACAACAACAACAACAACAATAATACTTAATAAAAATAGAATACTCTACCCTCATGAGAATTTTCTTCTTTTTCTTGGTGGTGCTTATGCCCAGGGTGTTGTTTCTCTGCATATTGGGCTTCTCAGCACTCTTGGCCGATGTCCCAGGGCTGGGGTTTCGAGTACTCCATCGTCTGCCTCCAAATAACTCCACAGCATGAGCCAAAGTTGGGCCTTCATAACGTCCATCCTCCTATAAAAAAATCACATGCTGAACACATAAAGGAGCAGCAAGTAATGGGGAATTAAATACATTAATGGCTTCTAGTAAATTCCCAGGGGTGAAAAGCACAAGTAGCCCCAGAAGAATAATGATCTGGCCACCCAAGTGGCTGTTTTCTAACTCCTGGGACTCTGTTAGGGATTTCATCCCATCTCTGTTGTCCTGATCACATCCCTACTGAGTTCCAGTGATATGCTTTCACAAGGCCACATTCAATTATGATTTAAAAAATAATTTCCCCTTCATAGTTTCAGAAGGTATGTTCCAGAACTCCCACTGTAGGAGAATTCATTAAGACTTTGCAAATTAGAGCTTTGGAGGACTTGTGTGTGTGTGTGTGTGTGTGAATCTATTTAAGTAAAATCAAGTTCAGTTGTCTGTTTTTGCATCACCGAGGGTAAATTTTCACCTAAGCTTGGGAATATGAATACAATGTATGTGGCATATATGAGATTTACTGTGGAAGACCCTGGGGAATATCTCAAATACTCGGGCTTTCATCCTCTAGAGTGGCTGAAATCCAGTGATAGAGAGCCCATGGAACTCAGAATCCCATGCACATTGTGATTCTGTGAAGAGCGAAAATACACCCAAAGGGCAGGCAATGGTTTAGCCGCTTCTCACTTGGCAACTCTGTGCAACATGCTTTAAGTGAGCAGCAGCAATAATTTATTGATTTGACAATGATTAATGATTCTCCCCATAAATCTGGAAAGCCAGTTAATAAAACCACAAAACGTTGCAAATGAATTAAATGTTGTATAAAACAGGCCTAATTTCCATGTACTATCTTTACTCTGAAAACTTGAAGGCTATCCTTCCTTTGTAGTTCCAATGAAGTGCTTATAAATATATTTTGTTTTATTACCAACAATATGTGAATAATAAGCAGACTTTTTTCAGTGTGTGCTTGCTCCTTCATCCTAATGGTCGGTGCCATTCTGATTTTATGACTTGAGATTTGTGAACTCCCATTTCCTACATCCTGTTCTGGATCCCAGGATCCTGAATAACTTGGGTACTTGACTGGGAAATTTGGGGTAACCTTTGGCAGTGGACATCTGTGATTTATGCCTGTCCATTTTCGGTGTCCTCCTTCTCTTTCCTTTACCTATCTCTTTTCCATTGGTGGGTCTGTCAATTACAGGGACCAATAATTTGCATATGACACAAATAAGCCACTCAGAATTTCCCTCTCAGGAAGAGGAATCTTCTATGTAGTGACACAGGGAATGAAAATGGTTGGAGATCATTCCTCCTGATGCAGGTCTGCTGAACAGAATCTCTGGTAACAAGACTAAGAGTGACTCCAAACTGCAGTAAACATTTTATGACATAAGTTGGCAATTAGATTTTAACTATGTCATTGAATAATGTAGACTCAATCTGAAAAAATTTGTAAATTTTGTATCTATGGATTTTAATCAATATATCTTAGAAATTTGACCCATTACAATTATAGATAAAAGAATCAGCACCATTAACCTCCACTGCTTTGGTTTTCATAAATTCAGATCATCCTAACAGAGGCCATATTGACTCTTATCAAAGAGAAAAATGAATAACAAATATCTTACTTTGATCTTAAGGTTTTCTTATGCACAAAAGCAAATATTCACTGTAAAGAAATTCCTGACCAAAACCAATCCTGCCAATGGCTTTTCTTTCACCCAAGTTGCTAATTTGTTCTTTCTTGTTTGAATCCAGGTTTACTAAATTTGAATTTCAAAACGTATGGCTGAAGGTGGGATGTCAGGCAGAGAATGCCTGTGACCTGTTATCAGTAGATGTCAGTAAAAGGGGTTGTGCAAAGTTCAATCATGTTAAGATTAGCTCATGGTTGATCTTCTATTCTCTTCTTCTCTTTATAAACTTCATTGTAACCCAAAACTTCTGAGCCATTTGCTTTCTTCTGGAATCAGCATGGTCTCCTTATGTGCATATAGAACAACTGCTCAGAATGAACTTTATGTTTCGATTTCTTTTAGTTTTGATTAATTTTTCTTTTGTTGTTCTTGAGAATATTCACAGGACTACATACACTAGTTCAACAATTTCTACATGTACAAAGTTCAGTGACACTGATCGCATTCTTCAAGTTCTGCATCTATTCTCATCCTTTGTTGAGTTGTTGCTCCTCCATTAACATAAATTCACTGCCCCCTAAAATTTCCATCTAATCTTTCAAGTTGATATTGTCTCTTTGATCCCGTATAGATAGTTCTTATGAGTTTTGATTATTTTTAATAGCCTTAATGTTTAGGCCAGGAAAAAGCAGGATGGTAATTTTTAGTAATAACTAAAATGGAGGCTTTCTGGGAATGAAAACATGTTTTGAATCTTTCTTTTGTTTTATATCACAGTAAGATTTGGATGAGTGGAAGATAAGCCTTTTTTTTTTTTTAAATTGTGCTTTGGGTGCAAATTTACAAAGCAGATTTGTTTTACATTCAACAGTTCATGCACATTTGATTTCACAGCTAATTACCATCCCAACCATAAAAAACACTCCTCCCCCTCCTCCCTGTGACTACCCCCTCCCTGTGCCCTTCTTATTGATGTATTCCTGTCTGTCCAGCTTTCCCTCTATGTGAATGCTGCCCCTCTGATGTCTCCTGGCTGATTGATCGAAGGGGTGCATCTCCTTAGAGTAGGGGTGCATCTCCCTAGGGTAGCTGTTCTGTATGTAGGTCTTTATACTATTGGGCTGAGAGCCAATCCACAGAAGTGAATCAATTTATAGGCTGGAAGGATAACCGGGGCCATCGCCTTGGGGGGAGCTCTGGTAGCGTAGTGCCTTAAGGCACTTGACTGCTAACCAGAAGACTGGCAGTTCAAACCCACCAGGCACTCCTCGGAAGGAAGATGGGGCAATCTACTTCTGTAGTGACACTGCCTTGGAAGCCCAAGGAGGGGTCGCTATGAGTTGGGGCCGACTCGATGGCACATAACAACAACAACAACAACAACAACAACATAGCCTTGGGAGTTCCACTAGTTTCTATCTGACCAGTAATTCTGGTCATTTTTGTGTTTTTGAATTTTGTTCCATATTTTCCTTCCCACTCTGTTCAAGGATCTCCAATTTTGTTCTCTTTCTGAGCGGTTGGCATTGGTAGCCAGCACCATCTGGTCTCAGGGTCATGAAGGCTGAGGTACTCGTTCCCCATCATATCTTTGACTAATTATTTCCAGATGACTTTGATTTTCTTCACTCTTCTTTGCTCCAGATGAGAGAAAAGCAATAGTTGCATCTTAGGTGGCTGTTTGAAAGCTTTTAAGATCCCAGTAGCTGAGAAGCTACTCCAACACTGTCCTCTGTTATTTCTGTAATGAGATACCCTTTTTTTCATGTGGGAGAATAACTTTTGTGAGTCTCAGTTTTAGGAAAGAGTTCGCTTGGAAGTTGAAGTTTGGGAAAATGATTCCCTAAAAAATATCCATGTCTGCAGCTGGGTAAGATCGAAACTCGTGCCTGTCTTCTTCAGGTCACATCCACTCTCTCTCTCAGCAGCACCTCTTACTTCTGCTATTCGTGGTGTTGACTGGTGGCTCCTTCAGCAAAAACTGAAGGTTGCCCAGGCAAATGAAAAAACAAATACACCTTATGTGTAAATGCAGTTACTATGCTATATGCCTGAGAAGAAACAAAGGAGCAAATGAAGTACATAGGCTTTATGACAGTGCGTGTGATGGAGCCCAAAGACTTTCCAAGTTTGATGGATTTCATAGTTCTGGGAGACTGAGCAATGACTGTACTTAAAAACCAGCATTTATAATGGCTCCTGAAGACCTTTTTTCCAAGTGGGCAAGTGAACTGAATGCTCCCTGTGAGTAGAGAGGAAGCAGGTCTTTTGGTCTTCATGTCAGATGAGTTAACTAAAACTGGCTTCATACTGTGTAGCATTGGGATTATTGTGCACACAGCCCTACCTGCTCATTAATTAATCCAATAGTTAATTAGGTTAGTTAATTATTCAGGATATGATCTCTATTCGTAAGCAATGCATGGGTATGAGAAGAGAAGAAAGTGGGCACTTTCCCAGAAATATATATATTTTTAATTGTAAGAAACATGACAGAAAAAAAAAGAACAGTAAAAAAGTACATAAATCAGCTATTTGAGTTATAAAAGTCCTATTGCTATTTGTTGTGTGACATTAGTAAAAAAGATCATTTGTTTTCCATCAAGCCAGAAAAGCATAACAAAGAAAAACTAAAGATTTTGATACAACTCATTTGATGATGCCATCTCAAAATCATCTCGTGGTGAGGCCTGTGACTCAATTTCCCAACAATCCACGCCCACCTTCCTCCATAAACACACTAGTGCCTCTTCTAACCATCTCCATCAGAACAGTCCTGTCTACCATGGAGTGTTAAAATAACTGCTAATTTAGAGCTTATGAGAAACTTACCCTTTAAGCAGACCAAACAAACAAACAAACAAACAAACAAACAAAAAAACAAAAAACTCACTGCCGTGAGCCGATCCCAACTCATAGTGACCCCTCCCTTGGGTTTCCGAGGTGGTATCTCTACAGAAGTAGATTGCCAAATCTTCCTTCTGAGGAGTGGCTGGTGGGTTTGAACAGCCAGCCTTCTGGTTAGGCAACTGTGAGAAAATGCCCCCTAAAGGCTCTGGAAGGTGCTCTGTTGGTGCAATGGTTAAAGCATTCTACAGATAACCAGAAAGTTGGCAATTAGAACTCACTAGCTGCTCTGTGGTAGAAAGATGAAGTGGTCTGCCTCTGTAAAGATTTACAGCCTTGGAAACTCTATTGGGCAGTTCTACTCTGTCTTATAGGGTCACTATAAGTTGGAATCAACTTGATAGCAGTGGGTTTGGTTTGGTTTGGTTTAAGGGCTGCTGCCATTAAAAACCTGGTTAGGAAAGACTCAATGTATGAGTATCCCATATTTGGGAAAGTTTCTTTTAACCTCACTCTATATTTTTGTATCAGTAGTAGTAGTCCTGCAATTAGGCAGTTATACACAGTAAGTTAAACAACTCCCCAAGAATCACTTTGCATGTTAGGTGATGAACCAGGATTTCAATTTCTAAAGTATCAGCTAGTTACTAACTAATAACAAAAGCATTCATATCACAATGCTTTCATGTTGAAACCTTAATTAAATCAAAATGCTTATTCTTTCCAGATGTGAATACAATGACCAGAGTCTCTCTTTTCAGACATAATAATGATAGCACCTACAAAGAGCCAGGGGAGCTCTGGTAGCATAGTGCCTAAGGCACTTGACTGCTAACCAGAAGGCTGGCAGTTCAAACCCACCAGCCACTCCTTGGAAGGAAGGTTGGGAAATCTACTTCCGTAGTGACACTGTCTCGGAAACTGAAGGAGAAGTCACTATGAGTTGGGTCCGACTCGATGGCACATAACAACAACAAGAGCCAGATATGTCATGCATATTAACTCATATAATCTTCATAGTCACCCACTGAATAGGTACCATTAGTTGTATGTAAAATATAAAATGGTTATTTTTATAGATAAGGAAACTGAGGCACCGAGTGGTGAAGTAGAAGCTGCCCAAGGTCACATGTAAGCAGTAAAGTTGAGAGCATGAAGCCAGGCGGTCTGGGTGCAGAGTGTGTGCTCTGGAGAGTTAGGCTGCTGAGTAAAGGTGATACTGCACCCCTTACCTGATAGAGGCTGACGTACTGCTTCCGCAGCCACTGCTGTCTCTGGTCAGGGAAACTCCTCATCTTTCTCACGGCTCTAGTGAGTGCCAACAATCCACTGAAGAGCATTTTGGCCGTGTGCTTTGGTGCCACAAAGTGCAGTAATCTATTGTCTGTGGTCTGAAGCCCATATAGCAGCGTCACACCAGTCTCTGAGAGAAACATGCTACCCAGTTTGTTCTGAACACACACAGTGTGTATATCAATGCCAGGGTGTCCCATGTACACAGCCTTTGCAGAAAACAAATCCAAGACCCCCTCCGCCAGTCCGCTTACTCCAGCATTGCCTAGTAATGGGAATTTGCCAGGTTCGGCTGTGTTACTCAGTACCCCAAGTTTGGCTTTAGCGCTGGCTGGGTAGGCAGTAGTGGGCTTTATCCAGGTCAAGGTGCTATTGTCAGGCTGAAGCTGGAGGAAGCAGCGGGCAGAGAGGTGGGTGTCCTGGTCATAGTGGATGACCGTGGCTCCTTGCAGCAGGAACTGATGCACATCAGCTTGGATGGATAGCACGTACCAGGGGATGAGCTCCGTGCCATGATCAAAGGCCTTCTGGGGCTCTTCTGCTCCATATGGGTCCCATTCTTTGGACTGTTCAAAGATGTCATTTTCTGAATCCAACAAGTCTCCAATTATAAATCTGATGGAAAGAGACACAAATTTAGTCTATCCCATACTCAGAAGCAAGAGCAACTAATAGTCTGTCACTAAAACTGGGCATCATTTTTTTTTCTTGTAAATCCTACTCTGAATTCAAATTAACATAGGAAATATATCAATGCTAAAGTTGCAGAGTAATTAAAATATTTATTGTGATAAAATATATATAACAAAACCTTTGCCACTTCAATCATCCTTTGTATATAATTCCATAACATTAATTTCATTCACTATGTTGTAACACCACTATCCACTTCAGAGTCATATTTTATAAGGGTATTCTAAATCTTTAGAAATTAGCACTGTGTCCACTATAGGTATAAGGAAAGGAATTACTAGATCAGTTATTATATAGTAGTAATAAATTTCATCATTTATTAGTTTTCTTCTTGTGTCAGGGACTTTACATAAATTTATAGTACTTTACATTTTTGCACTTAATCTGACCTGTGAGGTAAGTTTTATTCTTCTTCTTTATCTATGAGCAAACTGAAGTTCAGAAAGAAGTAACTTCCTCAAGGTTACTCAACTCAGAAAAGGCCTTGCCAACATGTCCTGGTTATCTGACTGTGAGGCTTGGGGTCTTCTTCATCACTATCTTCCAGTTAAATCATAAACAAAAGGCTCGATATGTTGGGGCTAAAACAGGCGAAAGCGAGATTTAATAGGCTGGCCCTAGAAGTACCTATGTAAATAATGATGAAGTGGCCAGTTCAAAGACATTCATTTGCACATATGGTCATGGTGTCCAGAGAAGCAAGAACAACTCACCTTGACTTGACCTTGACTCTGTGTGTGTGTGTATACACATCAGGGAGATGTCTGCTTGGAAAATTTAGCAGTTCCCTCCCCTGGGTCAGGAATCTGGATTACCAAGGCCGAGAGGGTCTTGGAAGAAGGCAAGAAAGAGAAATGGTGTTTCCCATATCCCATTTAATTTTGGTTCTGAGCTAAATGAAACATTTTCCAGTGAAAAACTACCAGCATTATGAAAAAGCATTTCTGGGAAGAAAAATTACAAGGCTTTTCTGGAGTCTGTTGCTGCTGTTCAGAGATAATGAAAGATGGGAGGGAGGGCGCTTTCTTGGTGTCAGTTTCTATTTTGTGGCACCAAAGAACTGATGCCAGACGTTAATGACTCCATTCAAAAGTACTAGTCCAGGGATTAATGTCTAAAATGAAATTGACAATTGCTTGAAATAAGTTCACCGCAAACAGAAAATATAATGAATTTTATGCATGTAAAATACTATACATGTATGTGTCTGATTTTCTCAGAAGACAAATTTCTGGGGGTTTACAAGAAGGAATAAGGTGGAACTTGAACAGTTATTTAGGAATCAAACAATGTTCACCAAAGATCAAATGTGGTTTACCAGTGAAGAAACTAAGGAAAGGACCAAGGTGTGAAAATAGGAGGAGGGTGTTTATCCTAACCCTGAAGGGGTTCTGCAGCATCCTTGAGTTAGAAGCCGTAAATGGGACAGATCATACTTTTCTAATACAGTGAAACTTGTGAGAGCTGCAACTTGGAGGGACTACCCTCTTTTTCTGAGTCTTGCAAGTTTTCCACCTTTGACAGATTTCTGCCTTATCCAAGTTCCAGCTTTCATAGATTTTACTGTATTTTCTAATGAAAATCTTATATTAGGCAAAAAGTGGGATACGTGTGTGTGCACCTGGTTATATATTTTCTTTATAACACTTAATGTTGTTAGGTGCTGTCGAGTCAGTTCCAACTCCTTGCTACCCTATGTACAACAGAAGGAAACACTGCCTGGTTCCGTGCCATCCTCATAATTGTTGTTATGTTAGAGCCCCATTGTTGCAGCCACTGTGTCATTCAAAAGTTGATTACTTCCTACAAATTGAACATGATTACTTGAAAATGAATAAAGATAAAGAAGCTTAAATCCAATCTTTTCATACTAAAAGAAATCCACACCTTTTATAAAGGACTTGCTGCAGCTGTTTCCATAACAAAATCCAGTGTTTTAAACCACTTCTGGCAAATTCTTGCTTTTAATTAACCTATCACCTTCCTCAACTACTTTAACTGCTGCTAGTGGGTTTTCTGGCCAGAGTAGTCAAGAGGTTTGGGAATTCTAAGAGTATCCTTCAGGTTAAACCCACTGCGATCGAGTCAATTCCAACTCATGGTGACCCCCATTGGGTTTCCAAGATGGTAAATCTTTACAGAAGTAGCTTGCCCCAGCTACCTTCAGTGGAGCAGCTGGTGGGTTTGAACTGCCAACCTTCTGGTTAGCTGTCAATTGCCTAAGGCACTGTACCACCAGAGCTCCTTATACTTCAGGCTAGGTGAACCAAATGGCCCCAAATTGGCCCTTCTTTCTTTGCTGTAATGTAGAGGGCTGGTGGCTGTCACATGAACAGGGATTTGAGGTTAGTGTTTACTGTAGAGTCCTTGTGGCAGCTACATCAACAAAGGCAGTTTCTATGGGCTTTGGGATCTGGAAATCCCTTTACTACACATGACTGATTTCAATGTGGGGCTCTGGTTCAGGAACAGATTCCCCAGTCCTAGCAGATGGTCCCAGAAATAGTGTTTGCTGCTCTGGTTTCAGTGAATTCTATTAAACATCTCCACACCCATCTTGTGTGTTCAGAAGTTCCTTTCAGAGTAGCAATTACTTGGGGTAAGGAAATTGTTTCTGGTATTTAGGTCATAGTTTCTGCTATTTCAATGGGAGGATTTCAATATGACTTCATAGGTTTTGCGTTTTTTCTTTTTCTTTCTTCCTTTTCAAAGGTTGCTTACGAAAGGGTCTGGAAAATAGGAAATGGGAGCAAATATAGATGAGAAATGATTAGGAAGAGGATAAGAGAACAAACAAAAAATTGTGAATAAAAATATCCTGCAAGGTAATGGGATGGTGCAAGAAATTTAGCACTCAAAGGAACCCAACGGGCAAGGAGAGAATGACGAAAGAAAGCTCAAAGTTTAGGTCTCTGAGGCTCAGAGGTAGCATTTCTGAAAGCATTTTAGAAAAATGACATCTTTAAATAACACATGTGTTCACACAATCACAAAGACACAACCCCAAATGAAGATTCTTATGAAAAAGAACCATATGAAATGATCTAGTTAGGCATTAGCCAAATAAATAACAGACATCTCAATTATCAATCTAACCTTCCTTCCGAGGATTGGCTGGTGGGTTTGAACAGCCAGGCTTCCAGTTAGCAGTCAAATGCCTTAGGCACTATGCCACCAGAGCTCCTGTAAATTATCTATCATTCTAAAATAACAGATGTATCCTCTTATTAGGATTTAAGAAGGGCATTTTGGCCAGATCTTAATATGAGGAAAAGGCATGCCTCTCCTAATTACCTGTTGGACTTTTCTTACAAATTTACTGTGAAACTTGTAGTGAATTATTGTGACTCTTTCCTTTGGCCATTGAGAAGCTCAGAATAAAATCTAGTTACTATACAGGACTGTGTAGTACATAGTTTTCCTGTTTTATTTTTTTCTATCCATAATATACTAGATTATTCATATTTATTCTTATAAGCATCTACAAAATCCTTTGTGGAAGGAAGAAGATATCTATCTACCTGATACCTAAGAGAGAGACAGAAGGATAGAGATAGCTATGGATGAAGGACTTAAATGGTTCTGATGCGCTTCCTGTGTAATGTATTTATTTGTAGATGGTCTTCTTCCTCTATAAAAAAATTAAAACAAAAACAAAAACAGTTGCCATCAAGTTGATTCTACTCTGTGGCAACCCCACGTGTATCCCAGTAGAACTGTGCTCCATAGGGTTTTCAATGGCTGAGTTTTCAGAAGCAGATTGCAAGATCCTTCCTCCAAAGTGCCTCTGTGTGAACTTGAACCTCCAACGTTTGCTTCACCCAGGGTCTCCTCTCCCTCTATAGATTGCCACTGATGTTAGCAACTATTGAGGACCATTTAAAACCAAAGTGCTGGAAATCTTTGAAAGGGGTTGTTAGCGAGGAAACTTTCAGATGATCTCAGATTTGAGAAAAAAAAAATTATAGAAGATATTTGTGAGACATTTGAGATTTAGGGTGGAGACACTGTGGTAAGGGCAGTAACAGTTCATCTGAGCATCTGGGTGTTCCATGGGGGAGTGAGCTAGAAAGTGATGAGGTTTGAAAGAAAGCCCAAACACTTTGGGGGAAATCTGGAATTTAGGTTTACCTTCGTAAAACATAATTGCATTAATAATTAAGACACAAGATGTTCATTTTTGTGTAGCATTTAGCTCTACAACTCCAAAGAATAGTTTGACATTATTTTCTAAAAACACGGTCATCCTTCTAACTATAGGTGCATGCGTGCATACACACACACACACACGAACAATCAGAAAAGGCTTGGTGAAACAAATAGCAATATCTCACAAACACACTCATATGTAAGAACTCCAAGACCATTGCATTACATGAAAGACTACAAATAAATACTTTTGGTGGCAAAGATATCAAAGCCAGTAGACCTAATCATTTGTGATGTCTCTAAAAATTTCCTCTGCCTGGGCTTGGCTATGTCTGGCCTTTTGAAGTTAGGTGTAACCATGAGCAAATGGCCTTGAAGAGATGCAAGGCATGTTCCAAGATCACTGATTACTGCACTTTTCATTTGGATGTGGGCAAGAATGTTTTCATTTGGATGTGGGTAAGAATGTCTATCTAGACTGCAATGCCCTCAACTGTTGAACAGCAACTGTAAGGACAGAACAATTACAAAGTCATAGCTGTCCTGTGTAAGTAGGGCTCAATTTAAAACACTTCACAGAGTAGTATTTCTCAGTGAGGTCCTTGAGCCATCTACTTAGAATGTCTCAGAGGTTGGGGGCAGATGCTAAAATTACTGACTTCTGGGTACCACCCTAGACCCCCTGACTCAGTACCTTTAAGTTTCTTTCCAGCTGTTCTATCTTTCATTGGAAGTGGTGTATTAGAGTCTTCTATTATTACTGTAATGTCTATTTGTCTTTTTGATTCTGTCAAACTCTGATTTATGTATTGCAGGGCTCTTTCATTGGATGCATAGATATTTATTTTAGTTATGTCCTCTTGTTCAACTGATTCTTTAATCATTATGTAATGTCCTTCCTTGTCTCTTATGGTGGTTTTTGTCAATTTTAAAGTCAATTTTATCAGAAATTGATATTGCCACTCCTCCTCTTTTTTGGTTGCCATTTGCTTGATGTACGTTTTTCCAACCTTTGATTTTCAGTCTATTTTTGTCTTTGGCTAAGGTAAGTCTCTTGTAGACAGCAAATTGATGGGTTATATTTT